ATTCCTGGTGGGAATGCAAAATGGTACACCTGCTTTGGAGGAAACTGGCAATTTCTTATAAAACTAAACATACTCCTAGCATATGATCCAGCCAAGTTAAAAATGCACATTTTAGGGGCACCTGGGTTCCTCCGTCAGTTAAGCATCTTACTTGGGCTCAGGTCATGATCTCACGGTCCGTGAGTTCAAGCCCCACATTGGGCTCTGTGCTGACAGCTCAGACCTGGAGCTGCTTCAGATTCTGTGTCTCCCTCTCTCTCTGCCCCTCCTCTGCTCACGCTCTCCCTCTCTCTCTCTCTCAAAATAAATAAACATTAAAAAAAAACTTTTTAAATGCACATTTTCTGTCTGCCACAGTGATAGTAACTATTTTGCTAAATAAAGTACTAAGGGCTTCCACGAGTTTTAGAATTAGAGTATTTCCCTTTGAAGCTAGGAAGAATTGAACTTAACACAAAGTAATACTTTACCAAGTTATCTCATTTTAATTGCATGATAAATCTAGGAAGTAGGTACTATTATTTTTCCCATTCTATAGGTGAGGAAACTGAGGCTTGAGTAGGTTATATAATTTGCCTCAGAACACAGATTTAGTAAGTGACAAAGCCAGTCCTTTTATCAATGTTTTCTTTTTTTTTTTTTTATGTTTTATTTGTTTCTAGGAGAGAGAGAGAGAGACAGCGTGAGCAGGGGAGGGTCAGAGAGAGGGAGTCACAGACTGAAACAGGCTCCAGGCTCTGAGCTGGCAGTCAGCACAGAGCCCAACGCGGGGCTCGAACCCATGAACCGCGAGATCATGACCTAAGCGAAAGTCGGACGCTTAACCGACTAAGCCACCCAGGGTCCCCCGATGTTTTCTTTTTGTTGTTTTGTCCTTAACTTTTTTTGGGTAAAAATACATAACATGAAATTTGTCACTTGAACCACGTGAAGCGTACAATCCAGTAGCACTAAGTACATTCACAGTGTGGCGCACCTACTGCCACTATCCATATCCAGAACTCTTTATTAATCAGATCAGAAACTCTCTATCTATTAAATAAGAACTTCATTCTTTCCTACCCCCGGCTCTTGACAACCACCATTCTGCTTTTGTGTCTCTAAGAATTTGACTGTTCCATGTATCTCATGTACGTAGGATTATATAATGTTTGCCTTTTTGTGTCTGTCTTATTTCACTGAGCATGATCTTGGTGAGTCTTCCAGGTTCTCCCATATTGTAGCATGTGTCAGTTTCCTTTTTTTCTTCAGGCTGAATAATATTCTATTCTACTGTGATAATATTCCAGTGGTATATGTATGAATAATATTCTAATGTATGTGTGACACTTCATTCATCCATCAATGGACGTTTGTTTCTATACCTAGTTTCTTGTGAATAATGCTGCTATGTACGTGAATGTACAAATATCTGCTTGAGTCCCTGCTTTCAGTTCTTTTGGGTATATCCCTGGGAATGAAATTGATATGATCATATGGTGATTTTACATTTAACATGTGGAAAAGAACATAACTTTAACAACTGTAACTTCTTAAATGACAGTATGCTAGGCAATTTATATTGTCTTAAATTCTTATAGAATCTTCAGGTATAGTGTGCCCAAGTTTTGTATGAAGAAATAGGTTCAGAGAGGCTAAATAAGTTGCTAAGATCACATAGCTACTGAATGGCAGATTAAGACTAGAATCCAGTCCAGTACTCTTCCTGAAGTGTACACTCTCACTGACTGCATTGGTCTCATTGTTTGAAATTATGTTTGTGGCAGGCATTGTTGGTGGTCTTACCAATGTAATATTCTTACAACGTAAGAATATTAGTTCCTAATATTTCAAGTGATTCAAGGAAGCAATTGACTATGAAGAAAGAAAGCCATAAAACAGAGTGGTTATATCATAGACTCTGGAGCCAGACAGCCTAGATTTTAATCCTAATTCTGTCAATTTATTACTAGTATAATCTAGAGTGAGTTAATTAACCTCTTTGTACCTTATTCACTTCAACTGTAGAGACAATAGCAGCAAATTCATATCATTGTTGTGAGGAGTAAATGAGTTAATATATATAAAGTGTCTGGCACACAGTAAGTACTCACCCACTAAGTATTAGCTATTGCTTTTGTTTTTGCTGTTGTTGTTGTCATTGTTACTGGGGCAAAACAAAGTCCTTGGACACTCAGAGGCTGGTAGACATATAATCCCTAGAGTGGGACCTGCAATTAGTAACAGCCTAACTTGTTTTCCTCTATTAACATATAAACTATGTTGCATTTTGGATTTTTGGAACATTGCTACATTTTGTATTATTTATACTACCCTTTGTATTCTCTTTCTATAACCCACAAGAAATCATCTTCTGCTGATAGTTTTCCATTCACTACCTTTAGGATAGAGTCCAAACGTAACATATAAGACCCTTTATGATCCGTTATCTATCTCTTGCTTCCCTCTCTAGATATCCTGTCATTCCCCCACATTTACTCCCATGTTTCAGTCATGGCCAATGATCTCATTCATTTAACAAATAGTTATGAGTACCTAGACAGGAACTATGTAAAGCACTGGAGAGACAGTAAGATATAAAAGTAGGGGCACCTGAGTGGGTCAGTTGATTAAGCATCTGACTTTTGATTTTGGTTCACGTCATGATCTCATGGTTCTTGGGTTTGAGCCCCGCATCAGGCTCTAAGCTGACAGTGGTGGACCCTGCCTAGGATTCTCTCCCCCCACTTTGCTTCCCCCACCCCTGTTCACACAAGCACCTGTCTCTCTCTCTCAAAATAAATACATAAACATTTTTAAAAAGATATAAAAGTAGTTTCTGCCTTCACAGAGCTTTCATTACAAAACATTTAATTATAATCATTATAAGGGCTATGAGATTAAAAGTGCTATGTGAAATGAAAACATATAATAATAGTGAAACCTACCAGAGCTCATTTAGACTTCTGTGCCTTGACCCATGCTTTGTTCCTTTTCTGGATCCGTTCTTTATGCACCTACCCTGCTCTACTTTTTCTGGAAAGCCTTTCTTGACCTGCTTGTTCTTCTGATAGACTTTCCTAATATTTACTGCTCTCATGTATTGAAAGCATATTACTTTCACAGAATTTAACCCAGTCTTGGTTTGCTTGGGTCTTTTCGTACAACGTTCCTCTTCCTCTATGAATCTTTTATCTCTGCACTCCAGGATACTAAGATAAATCTTTGTTGAATGAATGGTATCCATGTTTAAAAACTTTTTATCTTGAAATAACTATAGACTCAGAAGAAGTTGTAGAAATAATAGAATTCCTTGTGTACTAATCACCCATCTTCCCCCAGTGGTAACATCTTATATAACTGTAGAACATTATAAAAAATAGGAGATTGACATTGGCACAATGAAATTAACTAGACTACAGACCTTATTCAGATTTTGTCACCTTTGTATGTATTCATTTTTAAATAGCTGTTATATATAGTTCTATTAAGTCTTATATAGATTCGTGATTATACCACAATCAAGATACAGAACTGTTCTGTTACCACAAAGAACTCTTTTGTACTGCCCTGTAATAATGATGTCCATTTTTTTAAAAAAATTTTAATGTTTTATTTATTTCTGAGAGAGAGACAGCATGAGGAGGGGAGGGTCAGACAGAGAGGGAGACACAGAATCTAAAGCAGGATCCAGGCTCTGAGTTAGTGGTCAGCACAGAGCCTGACATGGGGCTCGAAGCCACAAACTGTGAGATCATGACCTGAGCTGAAGTCAAAGTCGGACGCTTACCAACTGAGCCACCCAGACACCCCTAATGATGTCCATTTTAACTAGATTTTCTCTCTATTATTACAGGGAAGCAAGATGGACAGGGTATACTGCATATTAGCTCTGGAATGCACTGTCCCCTTTAGAGATGGCCCTGGTATCTTCCTCTTACAAATCCAAGATTTTTAAATAGGTTAAAATGTTAAAATTAACATTAATAATATTTTAGATTATCTTACCATCTTAATTTATAATTATTTATAACACTCAGAAATGGTTAAGCACAGAAAAGACTTTTATGATTTATAATATTCAGAAATGGTTAAGCACAGAAAACACTCAAATTTAGAAAATTTGTAGTTGCATCTTTACTTTTCCAGGAATTATTTGTTTTCTTTTCTAGAATCATGACAATGTTTCAAATGCAGTCTTAGGAGGATACTGTTTCATGGATTTTGGCATTTAGTTAGAAGAAAATGCCTTGTTAACTAAAAAGGAGAGCTTAAAACAATGTCATGTGGCTAGTTTTGGATCTAGATCACATGGGAACTGCTGTACATTCCAAAAAAAGTTAATGTAATTGCTAGAAATGCTGATTTATTATCTCCCTAGACTAGATACTCTTAACTAGCTGTGATTGTTCAGTTTCCAATGTAGAAAAATGAAGGTGGTGCTGATACTAATAATGTCAAGTACCCTACAGTTGTATGATAGCAGCCGTAGCCAGAAAGCTAAACAAGTCAGCCTTCTCTGACTGCAGCAAGCCTCTTCTTGTTCTAATTCCCTTTCAGACTTTTTAAGTGGATGGCAGCCTTGAGGGAAAAAAATGGGAAACAATTAGAAATAATTTGAGGATAAACGTTCAACCTGTTCTTTTTCCAGTTAAAACACCAAAAAGAGGGGCACCTGCGTGGCTCAGTCGGTTAAGCGTCCAACTTCGGCTCAGGTCATGATCTCACAGTTTGTGGGTTGGAGCCCTGTGTCCAGCTCTGTGCTGATAGCTCAGAACCTGGAGCCTGCCTCGGATTCTCTCTCTCTCTCTCTCTCTCTCTCTCTCTCTCTCCCCTCGCTCTCAGAAATTAAAAAAAAAAAAAACACCAAAAAGATTGGACTTTTTTGAAACTCTAGAAATATCAATCCAGCGTGTTAACTCTCAGTGTTTTAAATGTTAAAACTGATGCTTTAAGTATTAACAAATTAGCAGACTGCTATTTAACCCAACATCTATTCCTGATGCTTTTCTGCCTTATAGCCTCATATTAGAGCTTGGAAAAACTAAGTATTCACAGCTGCAGTTGGCCAAATTACAGTTCTGGAAAATGAGATGCATGTGAAGTCTGCTGAGTTGGGGGTATGAGGTATTTATCTTGAGAAGGCTTCTACTTTTTGAAAAAACAAAAACAAACTTAGATGGTTGAGGCCACTCCTTTCCCCATCTTCCTGCCTTCAACAAAAGTCTGAAGCCTACAACTGCTACAGCCTTCCTGTAACTAGGAGAAACGTCAAGAGAATCACAGAAATTGTGCCTTTGCTGTTTCTGAGCTGTTGAAACCAGGGCAACTGTCTGCAGACTTATGTGAACAAATAAACCCTTATTTAAGCCATTGCAATGGAATCTTTTTTTAATTGCAGCCAAATGCATTCCTAACTGTACGGTTATTAAGAGGACACCTTTTTAGTTCTCTCCTTCATCTTCACAATTAGCCACTCTTCCTATAGTTAATTGTATTGCTGTCTAATCACCCAAACTAGAAAACTCAACCCTCCCTCACCTCCCTCATCCTCTTAATAACCAACTGTTATTGACTGTTTCTAGCTAGTTTCAAATCTATCTCTGCTTCACTATTCTCACTGCCACTAAATTAGTTTGGACACTCTACCCATCTCCTACCCAGATTATTTTAACAACCTTCTAACTAGTTTCCCCACTTCCAGTCTGATTATCCACCATATTTCAGAATTGTTTTTCTAAAATCTTATAAGATATTCTTCTCCTTAAAAATCTTTTTTTAAGGGGCGCCTGGGTGGCTCAGTTGGTTAAGCTTCTGACTTCGGGTCAGGTCATGATCTCGCGGTTTGTGGGTTCGAGCCCTGCATTGGGCTGTGCTGACAACCAGCTCAGAGCCTGGAGCCTGTTTCAGATTCTGTATCTCCCTCTCTCTGACCCTCCCCTGCTCTCGCTCTCTCTCTCAGAGAGAAAGAGAGCGCGCGCGCGTGCTAACGTGTGAGCAAGGGGGGGAGGGGCGCAGAGAGAGAGGGAGACAAAGAATTCGAAGCAGGTTTCAGGCTGGCACGGCAAGAGTCGACAGCCCCACGCAGGCTTGAACTCACAAACTGGGAGGTCATGACCTGAGCTGAGGTCAGACCCGCAACAGACTGAGCCACCCAGGCGCGCCCCTCCTTCAAAATCTTACATGACTCTTGTCTGCAGGATGAAATAGTCTGTAACCATAGGTGGTGTTTGTGCCTTCTTGTCTGGCACTGAGTAGGTGTTCAAGTGTGTTAAGTGACAGAATCTTTGTTATAGCTCCTTTGTTGTTTAATATCAAAACACTTAAGCATTTAACCAGTCTAAGCAGAGTGACAGCATACCTGGCATTCAATAAAGATTTGTTGAATGAATCTATTTTCTAAATTCTGCTGTAAAATCCTTTACCAGTATTCCCAAATACACACATCTTGGCGTGCATTCAGTTGATCTAACCTAGCCTACAGGAAGAAGCTCTTTGGTAACTTACATGCTTTTAGTTTATAATTAGTCATGTACATTTTCCAGATTGGGCTTGTGCCGAGAGTGTAAATTACGAAGGTAGGTGAAGTCTGTGTGGGCATTCCTGACAATTTTGCATCCACGAATAACTTCTATCAAATGAGAGAGCAAATCTACAACTTTCTGCTTGCTAGCAAGCTGTACCAAGTTAACCAAACCAGCGTGGGCCACAGCCATCTGCTGCTACAAAAGCTTCGCTTGTGAGGCTGGAAGGCGCTCCTTTGGAACTTGCTGGGGGGTGGGGTAGCAGGTAGCCGCCGCATTGCAGCACAACCCTATCTGAAGACTTCATATGCGGTTGCCTCCCCAACCCCGCACTCTGAAAACGGTTTCCTCCCCAGAACTGCGGGCCCTTTCAGGTGCTGCTTTTAGGTTCTCCTTGACCTTGAAAGACATGAAGCCTCTCTTGATGAGATCAGGAAAACCGAACAAGCTCTGAAAGTGGAAGGCGCGTTTTGGAGAGCAGGTTCTGAGGAGACAAAGCTCACTCAGCCAGTCACCCAACTGTCTCTCCTTCCCATGGTCTGATGTCTAGCCCTCTTCATTCCCAATTCCCGACCCAGCCTGCAAATTTCTGTATTTCAAGGGGGGAAATACAGCAGGCATAAAATTTGGTGCTTTGGGGTCTGGATTCCCTAGCATTGAATTTCTCGGGCCTCTCCTTTCGAAAAGCTAACCCTGAACCCCATGCCAGCGCTTCTACGCAGGAGACCACCGCCTGGTTGCGCACGCGCCCTCCGAGGGCTATCCGCTGACCTTCTCCGGGAAACCCCTCCACAAGCGCCTCCCCGTCGCCTCGCACCGCCCCCTCCCTTCCTCCTCTTTCCGCTTCCTTTTTCGCGCCTGCGCGGACCTAATTGTTTTGGCTTTCCGGTGGGATCCAGCAAAGGAAAAGGGCGGGGGAAGCTAGGGGAAGGGCGCGGGAAAGGGGTGGGGGGGGTCTCAAGAACCCGGGAAACTGCAAAACTACCGCTTGTGCTGCTAGGCGGGCGCAAGCGGCGGGAAGTAAAACCTGGCGAAGGCTGGCCCGCCGTCCGCTGCCCGCGCGTTCCCGGGCCACGAAGGGGCCGGCGAAGGGGGAAAGCGCGCGCCGCAGGGGCGGGGCGGGAGCGGCGAGCCGGGCGTCTCGCGGCCCGGCGGCGCGGCTCCCGGGGGAGGAGTCTGGCGGTGGTCGGGCCCTGAGGAGCGTGCGGCGGCGCCCGCAGAGGACGCTGCTTTCCGCACAGGACGGACCAACCGAGGGAGGGCGCGAGGGAAAGCCGGAAGGAAGACGAGGCGAGGCGCCAGCCTTCCTCGGAGGAGGCGGAGGCGAGACCCCGGCCCTGGCCGCGGCGGGAGGGCCACGCCCCCGCCGCCGCGCCCGAGGGGCCCAGTGTTTTCGGGGCCGCCGGCCGCACCGGATCCCGATCCCCGGGACTTGGGGACACGGGTGAGCAGGCGTCACCAGCACTGGGCGAGAGGTAGGGGCGGGCAGGGGGAGCCCGCCAAGACCTGTGGAGGAATTGGGAAGGGAGGGCAGCGGTGGAAGGGGGTTCGGCTCTTTGTGGCTCTGCCGGCGGGGGGGCGGGGGGCGGCGGCGGCATCTTTCAAACCCGAGACGCTTCCGCCGCGGCGGGGGAGGGGCGCGGGCAGCCGGCGCCGCCCTCCGCACCCAGCGGCGGCCCCTCCGCAGTCGGGCTGGTGTTTGGGGCTGGGGTGCCCCTGTGCGCCGCTTGCGGGGGCGTTTCCGGCCCCGGCCCCCGGGCGCCGCGGCGGCCGCGGGTCTACCGGGCGGCTCCCTGGCCCCGGTTGGCGCCCGCCTTTGCCAAAATAAAACCGTTTCCCTTAACGCCTCGCGACGTGTTCGCGAGGTGGTGGGCCGGAGAAGGGCAAGCCCTTCCTTGCATTTTTTTCTTAACCGGTATATCTGAAGTAAGCAAGAGATGTGTAAATTACCAGAGGTGCCATTGTGATCTAACGATTTTAAAAAGAAAGCAGAAGCTGCCCTTTGAAACAATATTGTGTACGTGTTTACTTTAGACTGTGAAATCGTTAACTTATTTGAACTCGACCACCTCCCTCTCCCTATGTATTGATAAACCGTGAAGTAGAATATCCCTTGGTTTGATTGGAGCAGTTATTCAGAGTTAATGACTTTTTTAAAATTCTAGTTTAGCGATCTAAGATCTCCTTTTACAGCGACCGTAAAGGGAGAGGAATACATACTCCATGGGCTACAGATCCCTAGACTTGTCCGCTACCACTATGGTCCTTTCAAGAGAAAATAGAAAGAGAACCCAAATGTAAAATTAACTTTAAAAGGGCACATTTGTGTGTGGCATTTATTTTCTATATCATTTAGCCTTATAAAAATGTAGGGTACAGAACGGTCACGTGTTGTTTATACATGAATCTGTACGTCTGGCTCACTGAGCATTGAGGCATTCAGAAACAAAACCCTATCAATAATGTGGTCTGACCAAAATTATATTTTCTTGTATTGAAGCAACTAATTACCGGTGTGGTTTGTTTTTTGTTTTTTCATTTTTTTCCTTCCCTGTGTTGTGAATTTTTGCCTTAATTTGAGTATTCAAATCTCTTGCGATTGTGAGTGACTTAGTTAACCTTTGGTAACGTTTTTTCAGAAGGACTTTACTGGCCTAAAATAAATTGAAGAATCAGACCAGTCCGTTGTTTTTCTAGTTTTGACGATGTGGAATTTTACTGTTCTCGTCATCTGGTTGCTAACTGTTAAGCTTATTCTTCACTTTGATCTTTTGTTGGTCTCCTTATTGAAAACCCTTTGCATTGGGTCCTGAAATCCCCCAGAAGTTGTCTGTTGGCGAACTATATAGGACTATAGCGTTTCAGTTGTGCATGCTTTATCCTCCACACTTTAACATCAGGTGCTAATTTCTCTACACGGAGTTTTGTAGGAATTTTAAGTACTATAACTCTTCTCCCCTTTTTGTTTGCTCTCACAGGAGGCGTTACGATAAAGATCTATTAACTTTAGTTATTCACGGGGCCTCTGAGGAGGTGGGTGGGAATAACGTGTCATAGTGCTTACGTCTACACAATTCTGTAGATTCTCTTTCTCCTGATTAATGGAAATGAGCTATTTCGTAAAATTGAAACATCGAACTCCGAGAGATTTGAATGCAGTCTGAAAAGCCAAAAGATTTTACACATAAATTTACGTAAGAGTTGTTTTTCTCATTGCCGACCTTCCTAAGAACCAGGAAAAAGGATTTGTCTTACTGTCATAAAATATATGAATGAAAATATCAGAGTTCTTAATTATATCTCAGTTTTATCGTTTTCAGTTTTGTGCAGTTTGAATATGGCAAGTAATATTTAACTCAGTATAAAACAACTCAGTATAAAAAGTGACAGGTTGATTGCAAGTAATTTTTAAATATTTGAATATTACTCCTGGTTCCATTGCCAGGAATTTGTAGTACCTAGATTTTCTCAGTGTGAGAAGAGAAGGGATTGATGTAGAAGATTTGGAGAAAATACAATTTAATGAGAGAAGCTCTTAAAATTCTTCGCTTTCTTTGCTCTACTTCCACACCTCTGACAAGTGGTGACATGCAGTAGCTTCCATGGTAGGCAGAGGATTCTAACTCTTCCTCAGTTTATTTTTGGGGAAAGAAACTGAGAAACTTCAGTAGTCATAATCATTAAGTGGTTGTGCCTTTAATGACCTTATGAGTATGTTTGAATCTCTGGGAAGTATTTTCTTCTGCTGTTGTGATTGAAAAGATTATTGACTTGGTGAAAAATGAAATTCCAGTGAAAAAGTTAAGGTCAGTTTTGCTGTAGTCTATATTTCTCCAGCTTTCTTAAGTCACTATGCAGAGCTGAGGAAAACACGAAAAGGACATACTATACTCATGATTATTCTATCGCAGGTGGCATTGCCTTTATGTTCTCATTTAAAACTTCGTTCTTGTTTAATTTTTTAAAAGTGAAATAACTTATTAATCGTAATGTAGTACAGAAGCTTATACTTGTGATCTGAATTAGGGTACTGAGCATAATTAACTTGGTGGAGTCCTGTAGTCTCTTTAGTGTGGTTGAAAAGGAAGAACACAGGAATAGACCTGAGCTTTTAATTTGGTTAGAGTAGGGGAAGCAATACTGAAACTTATCAGACTTTATAAATTCTTTAAAAGGCAAGGAATTTCTTTTAATTGATGTTTGTCACACCTCCAAAAAATACTGTTTGTGTAGTGGTTGACAATCAGTCTAAAGACCTAGTGGTCTTCCAAATATTCCCAACTGTCAGGATGGTTTTGATAACTTGAAAGCAAGCTTCTTGGCACCAATCTTTTGTCCTCCCTAAGGAGAAACCTATCGCCTCTTTGATAGGAACAAAGTTTTGTTTTGTGACTGGTGCTTCCTGGTTCCCCTTTAGTTTTTTTGCACTGACATCAGCCCTTTCAAGATTAATGTTTGTTGAGCCAGTTTGTTTTGTGATTTGTACCATCAAAATATTCCGTAAGTCTTTGAATGAATGTTTAAGATCCCTTTCACCAAGGGTAAAAAGAGAACTATGTTTGAGTACTGAGACTTTGTGGGACGCCTGACCTGGTGTAGGTGTGGAGATAGGTTCAGGAGTTGGGAAAGGGCCACAAAAAGCCTGACCAGTGAGTGCATTAATAAATATAACTGCAAGTATTTATGTGGTAGTGTTCTGTGTCAGGCATCGTCCGAAGATCTTTATGAAATTATTCAACTCCCTGAGAAGAGTTCTGTTTTTATCTTCCATTTTACTGATTAGCATACTGTGGCCCAGAAAGTAAATAACTTATGAAAGGTCACACAACTAGTTGAAGAATTGGGCTTTTACAGCTCCACAGTTCGTGTGCTTAGGTTTTTGGCAATACTTGACATACAAAATGCCTTGGATCCTTGCCAAGAAGTTTTCAATCTTTTGTATTGGCGTTTGTGGCATTGGAAGATGCGGCACCATCTAAATTAAAAGTATAAAACTGGGAGGTGCTTCATACAGATGATGATGACCTATAGAGTCCATTATTTCATCCTTTATATATTGTCTGCGTCGTCCTTCTTGGCAACCTCCTTCCCATCTTTTAATTTCATTTAACGTACACAGCTCACTTCATTGCTAATCAGTATCATTTTCACACAGCGGTTATTTAATCCCGTGTTCTTTCCTTGATCTTCTAGGTTTTGCCTGATTTAGCATTGAAAAAGCTTGCTTTGCTTCTGTTTCTGTAGCTACTCAGTGGAAGGGTACTCCAAATGACACACTTTAGGATTGAAAACTAGGTTTCAGAGTGAAATTAGATACCTACCCTCCCCCTAATAAAACTTATTGCCATCAACTTCTGAAATCTTTGAGTGTTTGGAATTGATTTTTAAAATTTCAATATTTCGTGTTGTCAATTCTGGTTTCTGTTTCTTTAACATCAGTGTTCAGAGTCTATACAATATAAATTGTCACTTTTTTTTTCAGTTTATTTTGAAAGACAGCGTGAGCAGGGGAGGGGCGGAGGAAGGGTGGACAGAGGATCCAAAGCAGGCTCTGTGCTGACAGCAGAAAGCAACATGCAGGGCTCAAACTCACTGTAACCATGAGATGGTAGCGGAAGTCTTAGCCACCCAGGCACCCCTGTTGTTACTATTATCTCTTTTAACTATAACTATATTACAGCATTTACATTGTGTAGATTTTCTTTGTAGATATATTTTGGAGCATACCTTGGGTTTTGAAGCTTCAGGACTTACCCACCTGTTTTGTAGTACTGTTACTTTTTAGGAAAATGAAGTGAGTATTTCAGACAAGCAGGTTAAACTTCTGCAGTGTGAGTAATTTTAAAGTTGGGTTTTTCTGTATTTCTGATTTAATGTTGAAAATGTAAAACAGGTTGGCTCTCTGAAGATTTGCTTTTCAGGCACATTGATTATTTGAGGAAAATCTGTTGAAATAATTTCTCGTAAGAGGTGTTTCAGATTTTTAAATAGAACTGTGTATATTAATATGGATTGCTGACTGATTTAATCCTGATGATCCTGTAATAGCAGTGTTCCTTTTGAAACTATTTTGTGTGGTGGAATTCACTCAATAGTACCTTGAAGGCTTAGGTAGCCTAGAGAAAAAATATATTAGAACCAGAACTTTTGCCTTTTTTTTTTTCTCAATCGTAATCAATACATTTCCTACTTTTATAGAAAGTCCTTAGATTTAAAAGTAAGTTGGACTTTGTCCCCTGATTTTTTGCAGAAAGTCCATGGGTAGAGAGTAGAAGAAAGAAAAAGAAGTTAAAATATCCATAGTTTTTATGTCAAAGGACAATGTACTTTATTAGATTCTGAATTTATTACACAGTGTTTATACAACTCCCATTTCTTACTCTAGTTGTCATTTTTCACTGTGGAATATTTCTTATGACCGGCTTTCAAATAAAGGACTTTAAAATACATCTCTTTACACAAAAATTATCTTGTA